TCAGTAATGTGACCCCCACTATTAAAAGCGACAAAGAGAAATTTGTCAATTAATTTATTAGATTGGAATAAAAACAAATATTATATTAAAAAAGGATTGCAATTTACGACAAAAAGATTTTTTTTTTCTGATTTTCAAGGAAAACTGTACAATTTTTAATACAGGAACATATTGCATCTTAAATGTAAATTAAATTGTAAGGTGAAAATTTTTGAAACATTCGGGGTGTAGATGCATTCTACATTTTTTAGATAAATAAATAGTAGTACTTTTGCATATCCTACATTCTTGCACTATCGTCTCTTTTTGTAATGTGGCCAATTGTCAAATCTGGTAAAGCAAATTTAGATTGAGGTACATGTACGAAGCTTGACATTGATGTAGCGATTCTTCACTATTATAAATTATAAATATAAATTTATGTCGGCTTTCTCTTATAATGTGCACTTCTTTTCTTCATCTTTTGACCAATGTATGTCAACTTGAAGCAGAGTGTGAACAATCTGAGTATTCTTCTAACAAAGCTATTAACTCTTTAGTAGTTAGTGCCATCTTTATTTCATATTTCGAGCAGTCGCCTCATTGGGCATATTGGGTAGTCGCCACATTGAAGTTTGTACAACAAGAAGTTTGAAGTTTGAACATTGAAGTTTGAATAACAAGAGCCAAAATAAAAAACACTTAAGTAGTGCTGTGTACAAACTTCAATGTGGCGACTGCCTAAAAACTTACATCGGTCAAACTGGTAGAAACTTTAATAAATGAATAACAGAACATAAAAGGGCTTTCAATAATAGAAAATCAGATTCGACATACGCACTTCACCTTCTAGATCATAATCATTCTTTTAATGACAAATTTAAAATTCTTGACATTCAAAATAAAGGCCTTAAGCTATCTTTGTTAGAATCTATGGAAATCAACAAATTAAAAAATACAGGTATAATTCTGAATGACCAACTTGAGACAAACAGTTCTCCCCTCCTCAACCTATTTCATTAGAGACTATAAATTGTAAACGCATGCCAAAAATAGATCACTTGAGAAAGGCAATCAGCCGAAACAGCTGTAGGGATAACAGTTAAAATAAATTTTGTGGAAGTTTGAAAACATAGTTTTCAGTGTTTTATTGTTACATAAATAAACTACAATTGTAATTTAAAAACTTACGTTTATTGGAGCTATTCGGTTTCCCTTTCCCGAAAATTTACGCTAATTGTATGTATAATCATTAAAATCTTGATTTATTTCCATTAAATCTACTAGATAATTATAAATGCTTCATTCTTTGATTTTATCTGAAAAATTAGTTTTAATAAATTATAAAAATTCAGTGTTTTATTGTTACGAAAAAATAAGTATTTTCCAAAGTTTTCTGTTTTTTGAAGTTCTATATTAGGTACTCTCTAATAAGATTAAAATTTTACTTTAATTTGTTAGACAACTACAAGATACCTGTCAAAAGACACATGATAATTTAATGATTATATCGGTCTTAAATTTAATTTTTATGTAATTACTTATGTATTTAAATAAATAGTTAAATCAATTCAATTCGAGTTAAAAACAAAACAAATATAACGTTCATAGCAGACAGCAATTCTATAAATAGATAATGAAGTGCAACGACGAGATCGTATGTTAAAATTTCAGATTGTTTAGTCTACTGAAGAAATAAGTATTTTGCAGATTTCTGTTTTTTGAAGTACTGTATTAGGTACTCTATAAAAACAATAAAATTTTCCTTTATTTTGTTAAACAACTATTCACTCAGTGCTTGACTGACTTATTGCCTTCATCTGAGAGTTTTGGACCTCCCAATTTGAGGTTAAAAATATGTTAAATATATAAGAAATTGACAATTATGAATAATTAGTTTTTTAATTATATTTTTCAGTTTATGTACAAAATAAATGTAGTATTTAAAAACTGGGTTTCTAAAAATTCATCATAATTTATCTTTACAACTTCAAACAGAAAAGAAAGGGAAAAAATCTAGTACTGACAAATAAAGATTTTCATGTGGAAGAGCATATAGTTAAAAACAATAGTAGTAAAAGTTATGATATAAAAACTAAAGTCATCAGTCAGACTGCGGTTAGCTTGAAACCTTATGAAATATCATTTAAGGTTATTTATTTAAATTTTTCCTATTTTAATTGCATAAAAATGAAATTATGTGATATTTACTTTTTCATAATAATAGCACGAAATCATCTTTTTCTTTTCTCGAATTATATATGTAATCTTTAGAAACCTATAAAAACTACCACTCACTATTTTTGCTATTATTTGCACAATTAAATACGCAACATGTATTTGCACCTATTTTTGATAAATTTATGCGTAAAAGATAGGTCCAATTTTGTCATATTTCGCCGCTACGCACGCTGGCATTGTTTCAAGGTACCCCTATCATGGTTACGCACGGAGCGAATAAGATACCTGTTAAAAGACACATGATAATTTAATAACTATATCGGTCTTAGATTGAATTAATTACTGAGTGTGTTTAAATAAATAATTAAATTTTTTTTTTGGTACGCCTCTGCAAAATTGATAAGTGAAATATGATTTCGTTGAAATGTTATCGTTAAGGGCTTAGTTAAGTGCGATGTTGCAAAGTAATCACCTTCAATTAAAAAATGTTTTAGTATAGCATATGCAGATGACATTGACATTGTGGGAAACACAGTCACCAATGTGAAATAGACTTTTAATAAATTGGGGGTAGAGGCAAAGAAAACTGTTTAAGGGTAAACGAAGAGAAAACCAAATACATGTGCATCAACAGGCAAAAGGGACGAGATAGAATAGGGCAAAATGTTACAATAGACCCATATAACTTTGAAAGAGTGGCGAGTTTTAAATATCTCGGAGCAACAATTACTGCAGATAACCATATCGCGGAAGAGATTAAAGGAAGAATTCAGGCAGCATATAGATGTATGTACAGCCTCCACGATACTATTAAATCTAAAAGCCTCACACGAACATAAAAGATTAGAATATATAAAACAGTGATTAGACCGGTGCTCATGTATGAGCTTGAGAGGTGAACCCTGACCAAAGAAACTGAAAGAAAGATGTTTTGAGAGGAAAATCCTCAGAAAAATCTTCGGGCCTTATTACGACATTAATAGCAACCAATACCGAATGAGAACAAATGCTGTGGTCAAGCAGATGTATGCCAAGTTAATATGAGGCAAGTTGTGCAGTCAGCCAAGACCCACCTCCGTGGTGTAGTGCTACGAAAAGAAGAAGAAGGAGAAAATGGATACCTTATGTTTTTGGTAGTCTTTATGGGGTTAGATGAGGTAGTGATTCGCAGAATATGACGCTATATCTTGTTAGCGTCACTAGCCTGTCCTAAACAGGGTCAAGGCTAACTAGAGCAAGAGCAATGGTTTTCCGAAGACTAGAAGGTTGGGCAAAAGATTAATAACCTCTTCCTTAAAAAACTTATTGTTATAAAAGCTCAAGGAGGAAAATCCGAACTGTTTAATTCACGACAACCTAGCAAACGACAAAAGGATAACAATTACGGATTTGCACCTGAAACCTACGAACACTTTAAGACGGCTGCGAATAGTGGACTGCGTTGGGGAGTGTGATACCCAACATTGGGGGACCCAATTCCGAAAGGAGGAGGACATTACACATTGCTGTGCAGTCGATTTGTTTGTTAAGTTTATTCCAAGCATTGATCTCTTCATTTTACGTTGTCTCCTTTTTAAAGTTTCTTCTTCTTATTTGAGTGGACTGGTGGAGCGCACTGAATCTGAGGACTCACTGAACGCACTTTGATCAATGAAACCGATGATCATACTGTAGAAATAAACAGACGAATAGAAATTGCCAGATCAGCATTTATACGAATGAAGCCACTCCTAACGTGCAAAAATCTAAATTTGGAGATCAGACTACGTACCATTCGCTGGTATATACTTTAATATTACTATATGAAGCTGAGACTTGGACATTAAAATTGTAATTTAAAAAGAATCGAGACCTTCGAACTCTGGTTATACCGCAGAGTATTGAAAATATCATGGACTGATAGAATTACAAACAAAGAAGTACTGAAGAGGGTTGGTAAAGAAACAGAACTAATCACCACTATACAAACCAAAAAACTGAAATACCTAGGCCACGTGACGAGGAGACCAAAACATGAAATTTTGAGACTCATAATACAGGGAAAGATTCAAGGAAGAAGATCTGTTGGCCGAAGGCAGAACTCATGGTTAAAGAATCTACGTGATTGGTACCAATGCAGATCGATTGATTTGTTTAGAGCAGCAAGTTCTAAAATAAAAATAGCCATTATGGTTGCCAACCTCCAAAGAAAGACGGCACTCTAAGAAGAAGGAACGCACTGGTTGAAAGCTTTCCTTTTTAAATGGATTGTGACATTTGTTTTCAACAGAAATGTATATTTCCTCCCTTTTATGAGCTAAAAAACCATATCAACCGTTTATCTAGGTTAGTGTTTAACTTTAAAGTTGTATATATCTCGTGTATATATCCCTTGTTTTAAAAGAAAACAAACATTTTTTAATTTATTCTCTTTGTATGTACTTTCTACTTCTACTCCTATTTTATTTCAGTATTTTGACATATTTATATATAAATATAAAATTAGAAGCTAGGAAAATTATTTGACTAATAGTATTAGATTTTAAAAAATTCTATAAAGTGAAAAATTTTATGTTGGGATTAAAATGTCAAATTCTTGTGAAAAATATTCCACATAGGCAACGCTGTCGTGTTGGTCGACCCTTAAAAGGTAATTTGAAGTGCGCATAGTCTGCTTGCTGAAGCGCAAGCGCCGCTTACTGTGAACTCTCTCTACTTCTGTGTGTTTTAGTTAGGCGGTGATGCCCGTCTCATACTCAGTTGAAATAATAGTAAGGTTGAGTGCGTGAGTTGTTTGTTCAGTCGTACATGTTGATTATTAGTAATAAACATTAACATTGTCGTGAAAATCGTGAGTAAACATGTGTGATCAAAACATCGCTTCTACTCAGAGCATTGCGGACTATCTTGCTCAGTTATTAAAGGATAGAAAACAGCTCGCAGCGTTTCCCAATGTTTTCATCCACGTAGAACGACTTCTAGACGAAGGTAAGTGTTCTAAAGCCGTTTTACAACAGCGACCATTAGTTCCAAGGATCCCCGTTTTTATTTACCAACGATTTATCAAGTTACAAGTGATAGTACAAACATGTGATGGGGCAATGACGTATTTGTTTGACCTGAGTTATTTGTTTTCTTACCCGGTTTAATCCATCCTGTTATTACAGGTTTATTTTTCTTGTAAACATTTGTTTCATTACGCCTTATCTTCGAAATCTGTCGTTTTGTCGAAATACTACTGTTGATACTGATTTTGCGAATTCCTTTGCGGGGTAGGCGTGGTTTCATGCTCGACTGCTTCAGCATCGGAATGTAGGTAACTTGGATCTTGTCATCAGCACACGGCCTGGAAAAGTCGAATCGAATAAAACTTTTTGATAACGCACTAATTGCGATAAAGTAACAAAATAACAATAAAACCGATCATATATTATGTTTTTCCGTATTGTATATATTGAAAATGGTTTTAATAATCAATTAAATAGGTGAATAACCTTTTAAAACATTTAAATAACTGCTTTTATTTATGCCATGTATCAATATTGTGTAGGTTTTAAATATTCAAGTGATAGCTGTACTAAATCCGGGAATATAGCGGTATTTCTTGTAGTCCACTAAAAACTCGTCAACTCCTGTATTTAAAGATGAAAGTTAATGTATAATATTTTGGTATTTTGAAAGCATTTTGGGTTGATGGGGTTACATACTGCTAATTTTTGTGTATAGTCACAAATTTATATTGATTTATGGATAATTTCTGCTTCTGTTAGGCTTTGTTTTTTTATATTATGAGCTTCAGACATTGTTCTTTTCTTGAAAGACTAGATTATATATTTTCTTTAAGTATTTATCTTCTGCCATCCTTAGTAGGTGTTTAAATTAGAGTGCACATCTCTCTATAACATAAGATGATTATTATTGGTATTTTAGTTAATATTGTGGTCCCCATAGTAAATTTAGCAGCTTGTTATATCACTGTTCTTAGTTATTAGACTAGGCGGGATCTGTAGAAATTCAGACCATAATGGACATTTTCCATAGGCTATTTTTTTGCTTTAATCCCTTCAGGTTGTGCCCAATATTGATAATCACGATATGCGCCAGTCGCAAACCCTGTGCTAAATTTTTTATTTAACAAAATCTGAAAACAATTGAAAATTTCTCATTTTTTTGCTCCTTTTTTGTTTATAATTCGGAAAATATTGATCCTAGAGAAAAAATTATAAGAAGTTAAAAGTTTCGTTATTCAATTCTACACAATATTTCGTTAGATAGAAATTGAAAATTTAATGTTTATTGTTGAAAAAATAGCAATAATTGAAAAAAAGTACAAAAAAATAAAGTTAATTCCTTTAAATGTTTTCGACTTTCTAGCAAGCAACTTGACTTGCAAGCTCCATATTCCGCCTAGAAAACTTTTTAATATGTTTAAATTGTGTGCTAAATTTTGTTAAGATCGGTCGGATAGGTTTTGCATAATAATTTTGCAATCCAGCCTACTGGAAAAAATCGCAAATTTTCAAATTTATGGTAGGCCCTAAATAAGGTCCTCAGATAGTTGCAAATTTTTTTACATAAAGGAAAGCTAAAACTTTCAAACGTTTTTTTTAATTCAAATCGGTTCACTAGGAGAGCCTAGAAAATGTTTTATAGTTTTAAACATTTTTTAGGCTTATAAACGCATTGAAAAACTTTACAAGCTTTAAACATATCAATTTCAAAATTTATAAACTTAAAGAACATTTTAAAAAACATTAAAAGACGCTTCTTAAAAAAAAGATACATTCGGCTTACTGGTTGCAGAGATATTGAAGGTCAAAGTTGGCAAACATTTGCCGTGTGACCATAAGTGATAGAGGGCTCGTTTTTAAACAATACCCTCGTCTTGTCAAGTACTTTTTATATAAAAAGTTTTACGTAATGCGCTTCATGGCAACATCCATATAAAAAAAAAACAAATAAAAAACCGTTTTCGCGTAACATGTCGCTCGGAATGGATGAGAGGTGGTGGTGGGGGACATTCACTCTAAATGTGAATCGGTGAGTTCAAAATCATAGCGCGCGCTAAAAATTGCATTATCTCGGCTTCTTGTTAACCTAATTTTGCTCTTATTTTTTAATCTATGTCTCGGATGAATTGCATTTTTTCTTCATGCATTTTTTTTAGCTTGCAATTTATACATTGAAGTAAATTGTTACTTTTAGTAAACAAATATGTATTTATAAATTGTTAATAAATAATTTGAATTGTTAAAACAAAGGCGAACGATTTTTTTTGTAAAAAATCAAACTTTTTGATATGTTTAAAGCTCGTAAAGTTATTCAATTTGTTTAAAAGCCTTCAAAAAGCGTTTGAAAGTTTGAGCCTTCTTTTATAGTAAAGAAATTTTTAAATTATTTTTAAATATTTTTTAAACATATTTTAAAAAGTTTTTCTAGTCGGAATATAGTTGTAAGTCAATTTTAGAAAGTCGAAAACATTTAAAAGATTATCTTCATTTTTTTGTACTTTTTTTCCAATTACATATTGCTATTTTTTCAACAATAAACATTAAAATTTCAATATAATAATTGCAATTGCATTTTTTCTTCATGCATTTTTTTTTAGCTTTTAGCAATTTATACATTGAAGTAAATCGTTACTTTTAGTAAACAAATATGTATTTATAAATTATTAATAAATAATTTGAATTGTTAAAACAAAGGCGAACGATTTTTTTTTTGTAAAAATCAAACTTTTTGATATGTTTAAAGCTCGTAAAGTTATTCAATTTGTTTATAAGCCTAAAAAAATGTTTAAAACTTTTAAAAATTTTATAGGCTCTCCTAGTGAACTGATTTGAATTTTACAAAAACGTTTGAAAGTTTGAGCCTTCTTTTATATGTAAAAAAATTTGCAACTATCTGAAGGCCTTATTTAGGGCCTACTATAAATTTGAAAATTTGCGATTTTTTTCCAGTAGGCTGGATTGCAAAATTATTATGCAAAACCTATCCGACCGATCTTAAAAAAATTTAGCACACGTTTTAAACATATTAAAAAGTTTTTTCTAGGCGGAATATAGAGCTTGTAAGTCAAGTTTAGAAAGTCGAAAACATTTAAAAGATTAACTTCATTTTTTTGTACTTTTTTCCAATTATTGCTATTTTTTCAACAATAAACATTAAATTTCAATTTCTAGCTAACGAAATATTGTGTAAAATTGAATAACGAAACTTTTAACTTCTTATAATTTTTTCTCTATGATCAATATTTTCTGAATTATAAAAGAAAATAGGAGCAAAAAAATGAGAAATTTTCAATTGTTTTCAGATTTTGTTCAGATTTAGCACAGGGTTTGCGACTGGCGCATATCGTGATTATCGTATTGGGCACATCCTGAAGGGATTCCAGCAAAAAATAGCTTCCTATGAAAAATGTCCAATCCAAAACAGATCACGCCTAGACTATATTGTTTTATTCTAATTTATTGGCAATCCTTATCCTTCTACATCCCGTTTATTTGGGCATAAATTTAATTTATAGTAAATTTATAGCGATTTTAGGATTTATACTAAAAAATAATAAATGTCAACAGCACCTGTTGGCGTCTATAGTGGAAGAGAACAGGAGCCTTATGTTCAGAAATTAATATAATAATAATGATGATCAGGATTGGGAAAAAATGGGTTCTGAAAATTGAGAATTGACTAATATTGTCTAACAATTTTTTCTGATCGTATTCTATTTGGGTTTGCCTAAAACTCTCGCTTTTATGTATTTTTTTTGGTGTCAGGTGTGGAGCCCAGATCCTTTAGAATGATTTATCCAATATTTTGTCTGTATTGCTAAACTTAACGCTTAATTTATATTAATTATCAACCTCATCAATTTAATCTTTGTGTTTTTATATATCTTTAACATTTTTAGCTAATCAAAGACAAATTATGCGTTTATATTTCCCTCAGTGCATTTCAGCTTCCGCAGTTTATACTGTTTCTGCGTCATTTTCCTGTAGAAATCAAACAACTACAAAATTAAAACAACAATGTAACACTCGAGATACGACTGTAATTATACAATCACGATTTTTTTAAAATTCATTCCATGTATAGAAAGCCTCTTCCCACGATAACTTCCATTCTTCTGGGACTAAACCCTCATTACAAAAGACAAAAACAGTATTTATTTGTTCCGTTAAATTAAACACCCGCTTAACGCGCCCCCTTGAATACCAAGGCCATTACAAATCCCAAATCTGTAGTTATAGTCCGGTGAAAGTTGATGAAAAAAGTTTTAACCTCGGAAAAAGTTACATAACGTTAATAATCCGTGTATGTGTTCTTATTGTAATCTCGGAAATCTTTTTTGGGTGGTGCTAGAAAGATAACCAATGGAGACACTGCGGACGGCAGCCAGATGGTTGGTGGAGAATGAGTCGTGGGTTCGAAACTAGCTTTTGGAACCGGGAATGGATCCAATGGAAGAAATAGGTAAAGATAGGATAAGAGACATTAGAAAAAATAGAGAAATAATCAAAAAGATAGATGGGTAAAATTACCAAAGATAAGAGAAGATAGAAAACAGGGCGCCACTCAATTTTTTGGGGTTAAGGAGAAAATTAAGAAAACCTTAGAAAAGAAAAGAGATAAGAAAAGATATTTAGGTTCAGAGATCAAACCTAAGGAAAGATACTAACAGTAAAATTATCAATAAATCTGGTCAACGCAATATATAAACAAATAATAAATATATTAAGTATTAACACTTACTTACCTACGAAACTTAATCAGCCTGATCTTTCTACAGTTCAAAAGCATAGTAATATTTAAAGATAGTAATGTTCAGAGCTATTATTTTATCAGGGAACTTGTTAGGAGCCGACAAATAAAATACATGCATAAAACAATAACAATATATTAAACACAAAATTATGATGCTGCTAAATGCAACACAAGTAATAAAAATACACAACTATGAAATGGTGTTATATATGTATAAAATTAAGCAATAATGTAATAAGAAAATACCTTTACCAAGATATATAAGGCAATCATATACAAATATAGTTTGGCGTATCTCTAAATATCATAGGAAAGATAATGAACAAAAATTATAGGAAATACAAAAGATAGCAAAAATTACTTAACTCTAAATGTACAAAAATACAAAAAGGTTACAGAAATAAAAACATAAACCAAACCGCACTGGTTAAGTCAATTAACTATCTCGCACTATTATTTAATAAAAAATTGAGACTTGTATGTTCATAGGTATTATTTATAGAAATTTATTGAATGGTTCTTTAAATTACATTCAAAAATCGGCAATCTACAGGTGAAGATATGGATGATACGGCCAGATAATGGCAGGTGATATGATACCATACCATATTACTCGTCCAGATAATTGTAGATAAAGATTACTTACAGTAGATCTTGACGAAGCAGCTTAATTCACTGAATTTAAGATACTGTACTGGTATTCAACACTGAATTTAATTAGGTACCATTAAAGGTAGTGTAGAACTATATATAATTTAATATAGTCTAAGGAAGAAAACTCAAATATAAAGTGTATGTGTATACACACTTAGAAAATAATTCACAAAGACGATACGATAAGAAATAAAGTGAGCAAAGCGTAACACGAGATATTGGCCTCAACTCAACAACGGCCCACCAAAAAGTCTCACGAGATATTACCTCACTCAACAACTGCCCACCAACAAGTAAATTGGTTCCACTAAAAATTTCACACCAACTGTCCCTGAAACAGGAAGAAGAAAATATTCCCCCACTCAAGAATGATAGGACAGTTGTATGTGTTTCTCAGAAGGTAAGTCCCTTGACAACTATTGGAAAGTTTGAGGTAAAATAATCGGTATTAACAATTGAACCTGAGAATATTAAAATCCTTAGGATTATATTATTGTCAAATGATACGGGCCTTACCATACCGGAGGCATTTGTTCCTCGATATTTAACTCGAGGCTATTGGTACCGAGAAACCCGTAGGAAAAAAAGAACAGGTCAACCACCAACCAGTGGTTAAGTGATATAAACTTATCAAGTACGAGCAACCAGCAACAGAAAAGTGAAGTACAACAATCAGAACATTAATAAATACTACATAATACCATATATAATAATAATGTAACATTTTTTTTATTATTAATATATTAAATTATTTTTAATTCCTTTTACCCCCGTGCGATACGCCGATGATTAAGAATCCCCGTGTTTCATTCCATATTTTCTACCTATGTTAACTACGTGATCTATCAGTCTTTGTAATCCTTCAGCACTATCCGCAACAAGGACAGTGTCGTCTGCATATCTTAGATTACTAATTACTTCACCATTAACAATCACGCCATCAGTCGTTTCTCCCAAAGCTCCTCGAAATAGATGTTCTGAGTACGCATTAAACAGCAAAGGCGAGATTATGCAACCTTGTCGTACTCCTCTTTGTATTGGGACTTAATTGATTGTCTACTCGAATCTTGGCTACTTGTTTTCTATAGAGATTGGCTATTATTCTTATATCCTTGTCATCGATGTTTGCGATTCGCAAAGTTTCAATAAGCCTCTCATGCTTTATTTTGTCAAATACCTTTTCGAAGTCAATGAAACAGGCAAATACATCTGTATTAACATCTCTTGCTCGTTGTATCAATACTTGTATGCTAAAAAGTGCTTCTCTTGTGCCAAGACCGCTGCGAAATCCAAATTGTACATCAGCAATACCTTCATCCAATTTCTTGTATATGCGAGCATGGATGATCTTTAAGAATATTTTGAGTGAGTGGTTGGAGGCTAATGATTCGGTGTTCTTCACATTTCTTAGCATTTGCTTTTTTTGGTAGTGGTATAAATATGGACATGTACCAATATTTTGGCAAAGTTCCTGTTTCATATATACGGTTAAATAATTCTGTCATAATGTCAAGTTGATTGTCTTCTATCAATTTCAATACTTCAGCATATATTCCATCAAGTCCTGTCGATATTTTGTTTTTTTAGACGACTTATAGCAGATCTTACTTCTGATTGTGTTATTGTTGGTCCATTCTCAACGTTTTCATATACTTCAATGTGTTGGATGTCACTGAACAGTTCTGCTATATATTCGTGCCATCTGTCCAATTTTTCTTGCGTATTGAATAGTATGTTATGATCTTTATCAAACAGTGCAGTGGGCATTGTTGTTCTATAATATATTCCTGCCGTTTCTTTGATCTTCCTGTGCATATTGAATATATCATGTTTTTTTCTGTAGGATTTCTATTTCTAAGCATTTCTCTAACAGCCAGGATCCTTTTGCTAATTTTATTTCTTTAAGTACCTTTTTGTGGTGTTCCTTGTACTTTTCTGCGTCTGTATTCTTAAACGCGCTTTGCTCCATAAGCTACACCTGAGTTACATCCCCTTTATTTTTAACGACATCCACAATTCTTCCAGGCATAGTTTTTACCACGTTCTGACAAAATTCTAATCCCATATTTCTTGCAATTTTTCCTTCAATTCGTTGACGAACCTGGCAGGGTGTTTTCTCAAAGCTTTTTTCCTTTGGCATTACAAAGTCTCTATCGGGGACTTGGTCTAAGTCGGGACTGTTAGAAACCCATTCCAGAAGTGGGATGCCATGGTCTTCAATTCATTTTAAACTCTTTTTTGAGGTATGACAAACTGCGCCGTCGTGTTGGAAGACAAGATCTTCCGCTGATGTTAAACAACGTTCCATAATCGTTAAAAGATTCTTCTAAAATATTCAAATGTTTGTCCGTGTTGACAATCCCATCCCATCTATGGTGCACCAAATCATGACAGATGCAGGAAATTTGACTTTTCTTTCAGGGATAGAAAGCTTCATTTTTCCTGCGAATGACGCGACTTCTACTGTCTCCAACACACACTTCAAATCGGAACTCGTTACTCCATTGTATTGAATCCCATTGCGACTGAGTCCAATCTTTATGCTCTTTTGACCTTCTTAGTCTATTTTTCTTTTGTTGTAATGTTAAAAGTAGCGTTTCCTTAGCCTAAAATAAAATGAAATTTTTTTAAAAACAATTCGTATTAAATTTTCCAACTATAAAACAACAAATCACAATTTGTGGGCCTCTCGCTGACATGATCTAGAAACGTGTCTTCCAATAACGTCACTCCAAAAAACGCTTAACTCCATATAATTTGCTCGTCGATTTTTTACTATTCTTCTTCTTGATGTGCGTATCCTAACGAATATTGGCGATCATCATGGCAATCTTTATTTTATCTGCAGCAGCGCGGAGAAGCTGCACAGATGTTGTATTGAACCAGATTCTGAGGTTCTTTAAACAAAATGTTCCTCTTGTTCCTGGACCTCGTTTTCCAAATATTTTTCCTTGCAGGATGGCTTGAATTGATTTTTTACAATAATGCGTCTTAATGGCCTTCGATCTGCTTTGCTTATTTACTTTGTACCTTTGAACCTGTAGTTTTGTATTTTCTGACTATATTTCTTACACTATAGCGTGAGAATTGCAACATATTCACGATTTCCGAATTGGATTTTCCAGAATTAAAAGATCTAATAATGATTGAACAAATTTTCTCATCGATAACTTTACTTCGACCCATTGTACAATCCACAAACGGCAAAAAGCTTTAACATACTACAAAATACATTTGACAATTAACTGACAATATTATTGTTTTGATGTAATTTTTCCATAGCTACCTCTGGATTTAACGTGATTATGAAAAAATCATCGAGCAAAAAGACAAAAGAGGGAATCTAAATCCTTATGAAACGGAGACCAAAAAAGTGGCCTCTGATGGCGGACATATCCGGAAATGCGAATGTGCCAAATTTAAATTTTCCGACACTTATTAACAGTAACTATATAATATTTTTCAGAATCTGTCTTGGACGAGAAAGTTTTAATTAATTATTAACGGTAATAGTCTAAAATGCGACACAATTGTTAAAAAACTTCCATATAAATAAGATTTCATGTGACATTTGGGACAAACAATAACATAACCCTACTAAATTTGATGTCAAACAAGGAGGGAAGACTCCATTTCCCTGTTTTAATGTGGCCTCTAAAGATCGTTACTTCCTGTCTAACAATATTTTTTGCCCCCACTTCACCTTTACATTCCCTCTTTTGTCTTTTTGCTCGATAGAAAATAATCAAGTTGTCAAGTGATTGCATAGCCAGGGTTTAGTGAATTTTTTTATTGTTGAAAATAAATAAAAAATCATATATTTAGGTGATGTTTTTAATAAATATTAATTAAATTGCCATATTAATAAATAATATGGCAATTGACTTTGCAGAGTATAATTTGGTAATTGACATTAAACTGCAAATTCCATATGTGGGCCAATAGATAATATAAATTACAATTGTAATTTAAAAACTTCCGTTTATTGGAGCTATTCGGTTTCCCTTTCCCGAAAATTTACGCTAAATGTATGTATAATCATTAAAATCTTGATT